CGATTCCCGGTCCGGGCACAGGCCTGGTTTCAGGCTCCATCTCCAGGGGGGCGTGTGGGAGGCAGCTGATGGATGTTACACTCATGTTGATGTTTCTCTCCTTTCCCTTCCTCTCGCTCTCAAATCAGTAAGTGATTTTTTAAAACAAACAAACGAATGAATGAATGAATGGATGAAAAAGAAAGAGAAAGCATATTTTTAAAAGAGAGAGAGGATGCCAAAACCAGTTTGGCTCTGGATAGAGCGTCGGGCTGCGGACTGAAAGTTCCAGGGTTCGATTCCGGTCAAGGGCATGTACATTGGTTGCGGGCATATCCCCAGTAGGGGGTGTGCAAGAGGCAGCTGATCGATGATTCTCTCTCATTGATGTTTCTAACTCTCTATCCCTCTCTTCCTCTCTCTAGAAAATCAATAAAATATATTAAAAAAAAAAAAAAAAAGAGGGAGAAGAGTCCTCCACGGAGAATGACTTAATCAGCCATGCCCGTGGAATGACACCCCCAAAACCCCTCAACACTGGGGTTCCCAGGGCTTCCCATTTGTGCCCATGTGCCCAGGCTGGGAGGGGCACCTCAGCTCCCGGGCCCTGGGCCTGGGCATCTGAAGGGGGGCAGATGGTGGAGACGGAGGGGAAGCCGAGTCTAGGGCGGTGGGCACCCCGATACCAGTGCTGCCGCCTCCTCACACCTTCTCAGCGGCCACCACCCTGCGGTCTCGTCTGTGTCAAATGGACCCCCGGCCCCGGCCCCGCCGGCCGGGCTGTCTGAGGAGGACCCACCCACGCGCCGGCTGCACCTCCACCTGGGCTTCCAGCGGGGAGCGGGCGGGGCCGAGCCGGAGGCCGGCCCCTGGACGCCGGGAGGTCAGAGCTGGGCCGCCCCAGCGGGCGTAGCGGGGAGGGCGCCGGGAGGCGACCCGGTGACGCCCGAGCGTCCGTGAGACGCGGCGGGGCTGTCTCTCTGGGTCTCTGGGTCTCTGATCCAGCGCCCGGCCCGGAGCCCGGCCACGCTTGGCTCTGCTCCCCCCACGCCGTGTCCGGTCCCTGCTGTCGACGCCCGTGACCTCCGGTTAACGGAGCCGTGGGCCTGGCCTTGGCTGCTGGCTGTTGTGAGCAGCGGCGGACGGACGGACAGAGCGATTAAAGCGAGGACGCAGCCCGTTAGGAACGGCCCGCAGGGTCTGCGCCGACGGCAGGCCGCCTCCACCAAGGCCGCCCTGCGTCCCGCCCGGGCCCCGGGGCTGCTGGGAGGGTGTGGCTCCCGACGCATAAACGTGCCGCCTCCACGTGCTGCCCCCCATTGGGGATGGAGCCCGCAACCCGGGCCTGTGTCCCGACCGGAATGGAACCCTGACCTCCTGGTTCGCAGGTCGACGCTCAGCCACCCAGCCACTCCGGCCGGGCCCTCCCCTGACTCTTAACCAGGGCTGGTGGCAACTCCAACCCGACGCCTGCCGTCTGACCGGGGCCTGGCGTGGTCTTGGGTCCGACCCTGGCCACGCTGGTCTTGGTGTCGACAGGCGGGAAGAGAAGTTCCAGGCTCCCTCCCGGGCAGGCCCCTGGGAAGGGCCCTGTGCTCACCTCTTCCCGGTCCCACCTCTGCCCTCACTCCCTGACACGCCGGCCACGGGGCTCCCTGCTGCTGTCTCCGTGAAGGTCAAAGTCTCCCCCTTGACCCCGAGGCTCCGTGTGGCTGCCTGTCCCCCGGCCTCCGCCTGGCCGTGTCCCCGCCCGCCTCTCCGAGCGTCTGGGGGAGCTGCTGGCTTCAGAGCCGCCCCCGCCCTCTGCGGGACCGCCCCGGCCCTCACTCCCGGCCGCCTCCATGTCGCTGTCCGTGCCCGGTGAGGAGAGGCGGGGGACGTACCTGGCATGTGGCAGGTGCTGGGACGGCCGCTCCCTCCCGGGACGAGGCCTGGGCGTCACTCTGCGCGGCCCGGGCTGGTCCCTGCCGGAGCCGGGCTCCTCCGGGGCGGGGGGCGGCGGCCGGGCCCTGGAAAGGGAGAAGCGGGCTGGGCGGGCTGGAGGCAGAGAGCCGGGGCCATTCGCCGTGGCCTGTGGACAGGCACTTCCCCAGACAGGCTGCTGCTCGGGGCTGACGGGAAGGACCAGTCTCCTCGGGAAGGGAATGGAGGGGCTGGGGAGGGGCTCAGCCTGGACAGGCCGCGCCCTGGGCTGGTGCTCGCTGGGAGGGAGAGGCCGGGGCACCCGTCTCGTCAGGAACCGCGGACTTGGGCGGAAGGACTAACTGAGGGGACGCCAGCCCTCCCGGAGCTGACAGCTGACTCGCTGGGGGTCAGCTGGATCGCAGGAGCCCTCACTGGCCTCGCCCCCTCCGTGTCACTGGGACACGCTTTTCGGGAGGACGGGTCTCCTTGGCATCCCCGAGGCCTCCCTGTTCGGCGGCCGGGACAGGAGCAGCCGCGCACTGTGGCACCACAGGAGGGCGGGGGGCGCCGCGGGGAGGGCGGGGGGCACTGGGGCTCTGGGCCGAGTGCCCGCCAAGGTGCGAGGCCGCCCACAGGCAAAGGGAAGCAGGAGGGATGTGGGATGGAGCGCAGGGCGGCTAAGCTGGTACCACCCCGGGCCTGTCAGCACAGGCTGGGAAACCGAGGCACCGGCAGCAGGACCGAGGCTGCCCCGCCCTCCGCCCTCAGAGCTGGCCCACCCCGAGGAGCCCCAGGTCGGGAGACGGACAGGCTGCGCCTCCCGAGAGCCGGACCCGCAGTGTTTAACCGTCGCAGCTGACACGTCACCCGGACGCTGACAGGCACGGACCGCGCTCCAGGCCCTCGGCTGAGCGAGCCGGTCAGCGCACGGCTCCGAGAGGGGCGCCCTGGGGACAGCGAGGGCCCCCGCGAGGGAGGCCGGTGAGGAGGAGCCCAGGTGTCTGATCCGCAGGAGGAGCTCCGGCCACGCTCCTGCCTCCTGGTCACCGCTCCCAGGTCCCGGACTGCCTTTCTTTAAAGCCGCCTTTTACACGTCCCTAACCGTGTCCGTCCCGCAGCGCCCTGAGCTGTGGCTCCAGCACACGGGCCTGAAGCAGAAGAAATCCACGTTTGCAGACGGCAGATGCCGGCCGGGGTGAGGAAGAGCTACTGCTTCTTGCAGAGGAATCGATGGCGCGGGAGTTACTGGCGTGGGAGTCCGGCCGCTGGGGGGCTCGTCCATCCCCACGGCGCCCGCTAGCTGACAAGCAGCGCTGTCCACGGGCCTGGCCGCCCCTGGAGGATGCCCCCTTCCCCGGGGGGGAGGGCGAGAGGCTCCAGGAGGAGGGAGCGGGGAGCAGAGAGAGAGCGCGGAACAAGGCGATGCTTCAGAAAACACGACCTGACCGTGAGAATCCCCGAGAGATGAGAGAAGACATCGCAACCATAAAACAACGCCACGAAAAGGAACAAAGAACGGGTTCTTGGCAATTCAAACCAGGTGGCGGACGGTTGTAATTAACAGGAGATTTGGAAGATAAAGTTGAAGCAATCTCCCTAAAAAGTTAATAAAAAATTAAGAGAAGGAAGAGGAGAAGGAGGCCGAGGCCCACTTGGAAGGGCTGATACCCAATGAGCAGAAATCCTGGGAAGAGCCGACAGAGGTGGTATTTCCTTCCTGTGCGTCTTTTGGGGAGGACGTCCTGTAAACGGAGGGATGACACGATCAAGAAAGAATATCTCAGGACCCTCCACGTGCCAGACTCCGAGTCTTCCAAAGGGAGGAGCCTCGCAGACCCTCGGAGGGCAGGCCCAGCGAGCACGGGGCTGCGAACGGTCCAGAGGACAAGCGGGCGCCGGAGGGTCTGGCACTGAGGGGGGCCTCCAGCTTCCAATAGCAGCTCGGGAAGGAAGCTGGGCGACAGCAAGGCAACACCTTCACATTCCCGATGGAAAACACCGTCAAATCTGACTTGTAAGCCCGCCCACACATTGATGGATGAAACAGAAGAGTACTTCGGAAAGGCAGCGCCTGGACATTTATTTCCCGGGCCCCTTTCCCGGGAAGCTGCTTGAGGACTTGCTTCAGCAGAACGAGGGGTCGAACAAACAGAGGAAGGCACGGAGCCCAGGAAACAGAGAGTGTGACGGGCTGAAGCGTGGAGGAAAGTGCGGGGAGGAGCGGGATGCCATAAAAAGGAGTGGCCAGGATTGCGGCTGGGCCATCGGGGGCCGATGAGAACGTGCTGAATGGTCATCTCATAGCCTGCATAATAAAAGGCTAATATGCAAATCGACCTAAGGTGGACCGACCGGCTGCGATGACGTGCACTGTCCATCAGAGGGCAGACGCTGGAAGCCGGGCTCACAGCTAGTGAGTGCAGTGGCCGTGGTGGGAGCCTCTCCCGCCTCCGTGGAGCACTAAGGATGTCCGACTGCCGGCTTGGGCCCAGTCCCCATGGGGAGTGGGCCTAGGTCATCAGTCGGACTTCCCCTGAGGGCTCCCGGACTGCAAGAGGGCGCAGGCTGGGCCGAGGGACCTCCCCCCCAGCCCCGCCCCCAGTGCACGAATTTCGTGCACCGGGCCTCTAGTATTTGATAATGTAGGACTGGTCTGACAGTCATATGGAAAAAAATTAAGGGCAGGTACATTAAAACCTCAAATCTCAGCAACTAAAGAGAAAAAGAGAGGCAATAGAACTCCAGGAGAAAATAGCCGAGACCGGTTTGGCTCAGTGGTAGAGCGTCGGTCTGCGTACTGAAAGGTCCCGGGTTCGATTCCGGTCAAGGGCATGTACCTTGGTTGCGGGCACATTCCAGGTGGGGGGTGTGCAAGAGGCAGCTGGTCGATGTTTCTCTCTCATGGACGTTTGTAGCTCTCTATCTCTCTCTCTTTCTCTCTGTAAAAAATCAATAAAATATATTAAAAAAAAAAAAAAAAGAAGAACTCCAGGAGAAAATAAAAAGGTAAGAAAGGAAACACAATCACAGGCCTCAACGTGAACAGTGTTTACCTCGTCACCAAATGTGGCACACAGCACCGTGACCACATGCCCGGGGAGAGGGCGGAGCGGGGCATGCAGCGGGCTCCCGAGGAGAGCAGAGTCCGCATCCACCGCGCGCACCCCGACAGGAATGCAGAGCAGACCCGGCGACACGCGGAAGGCACACGTGCTGCGCAGAACACGGAGGTGGGTGCGGAGGACGATGATGATGGAGGAGAGTCAGACGTGGTGCCTTTGGGGGCCGGGACTGGGGCTGCTGCTGGCCAGGCTGGGAAATGATGGTTTACAGGACAAGCTACTTAACCTTTTACCCCTCTCCCCCGACATGCACATCAATCTTTGGAGAGAGTGGAAGGGAGGGAGAGAGAGAGAAACATTGGTGTGAGAGAGACACAGCGATTGGTCGCCTCCCACATCCACCAGGACCATGGCTGGGGATGGCACCTACAACCCAAGTACATGCCTCTGACCCGGAATCGAACCGGCGACCCCTCAGTGTGCAGGCCGGCGCCCTAACCACCGAGCCTGCTTCACTTGTAAACGCTGCAGGGCCTGCATGACCGTGGCAAAAATACTAATGAAACATGACATACAGCGATGGTTGGCAATACGGACCCTGCATGATGGGCTGGCGGGCCACACAGCCCCCTCCCTTCCCTGCACACTCCCCACGCCCGCCCTTTGCGATGCCTGTCGCACAGTCGTCCCTCAGGAGGCAGGAGGGTGTGCAGGGCACTTCACAGACGCCCCTCACCCCCTTCGCAGGAGCGTGGCGGGGTGGGGTTCAGGCGCCCACATCATGGCGAGGAGGGAGGGTCAGGGAGAAAGCCCCGCCCTCCTGACTCCAGGTCACGGGGCCTGAGGGAGCAGCCGTCACAGGCAGCGTGTGGGAGGCAGGCAGCTCAGGCCTCGGCCCCCGCCCCTCACCCCACCAGAGGCCTGGCTTCCTGGCTCCGTGGCCGCCTCCTTCCTGTCCTCTCCCCGCTTTGCGGGAGAGCATCCTCCAGAGCTGCCAGGACGCGGTGCGGGTGGCTGTAGGCAGACACCCTGAGGGTCATCTCCGTTGACACAACCACCCTTCGAGGTGCTTCCCCCTTAGAGGGGAGACGGGCTCAGAGGGCTCGGCCACCCGCCCACGTCCATCCCCGCTCGGCGCCCCCGCCAGGGGCCTGAGTCGCAGTAGGCACCCCGCATCTGTCTGTCGGGCGGGTAAATAAATGTCAAACCCGGATGCGATGAGGCTGCTCTGACTTGGCACCCGCTGAGAGCCAGGCCCCGGGAAGGAGCCGCCCGTGGGACCCGGCTCTGCTCTCCGCACTTGTCCTGGGGCACCCGCGGGGCCAGACGCCCAGCGGGCAGGGAGACAGGGTCTCTGGCTAATTGATTCGCCTGGGCGATTGGAGTGGGCGGCTGGAGATGGAGGGTTTAATTATCCCAAGCAGCCTCCACTTAACTGAAAGGAGTTCTGGCAAAAAAAAAGAAAGAAAAAGAAAAAGAAAAAGAAAAGGTAGGGAGAGGTGGGTATTATTTAAAAGAGCCATCTAGCACTTGTGAGGACCGCGGACACAGGACACAGCAGCCGGTCCTGGCCGGCCGCGGTCGCAGCCCTGGGAGGAAGCTCTGGGAAAAGGCCCCGAGTCCTGCCTTCCTTGTGTCCCCGCCCCTCGTGGCGACAAACGGGACACTCAGAGCAGCGGCTCGAACCACACACCTGCCCCCCCCCCCCCAGGCTTCCTCCCGGCAACCCCGAGAACGCCCTCACCTCTGTCTGTCTCGGCTCATTCAACCGAAACATTAAGATGATACCATTTCTCACAATTACCCTGTGAAGCAATCAGTGGTGCTTCACCCGCACATGTTTTGAAAGCAGCAATTATCATTTTAGAGTCACAGCGGGTGGCAGGCCCTCCTGCCAGCTGCCGGCCTGAACCCATGCTCTCTCGCTCTGCGGAGGGGCCCGTTCTGCGGAGTGTCTCTGGGCCCATCTGAAACACGGCATTTCTCGCCTCCCTTGCAGCTAGGGGTGGCCGGGCGACACAGTCCTGGCCTCTGTGAGGTAAGGGGAAGTTTCAGGTGAGTCATGGGGAGGGCGCCTTGGCCTGGGCCGGGGGCAGAATGGCGAGGAGAGCCTCTTCCTTGTCCCTGTCTCCCTCCTGGGATGCGGACACAATGCCCTAACGCACAGCAGCTGCCCTGTGAGCACGGAGACAGAGGCTGCCTGGGTGCTGCAGGGAGCTGGGCCCAAGCTAAGCTTTGAGCCCTTGGTCCATCCTATCTAATAAAAGAGTAATATGCAAATTGACCATCACTCCAACATTCAAGATGGCTGCCCCATGTGGTCAAAGATGGCTGCCACAAGATGGCCAGCAGGGGAGTTCAGTTGGGAGGGACCAGGCCTGCAGGGAAGGGCAGTTAGGGGCAGCCAGGCTGGTAGGGGAGGGCAGTTGGGTGAAAACAGGCTGGCAGGGGAGCAGTTAGGCATCAATCAGGCTGGTAGGGGAGTGGTTAGGGGTGGTCAGGCTGGCAGACAGAAGCGGTTAGGGGCACTCAGGAAGGCAGGCAGGTGAGCAGTTGGGAGACAGCAGTCCTGGATTGTGAGAGGGATGTCCAACTGCCCATTTAGGTCCAGTCCTCGTCGGACATTCCTCCAGGGGTCCCAGATTGGAGTGGGTACAGGCGGGGCTGAGGGACACACAGCCCCGGGCCTCTGGTGGAAGGATAAATCCCTCATGTGCATGGAGTTCTGATTTTGTGTCTGTGGCTTGCGGGTAGGAAAGCGATCCTCACAGACCCCTGTGACAAGTAAGATCTACGACATCTGAGAGCCCCCTCGCGGTCCCAGACACGCTGAGCGCTGGCTGTGCTTCGCTCGTGTTCCTCTTTCCAGATACAACACCGAGCGAGCGGGCGATCGATAAGACAGCACCGCCGTGGACGGGCGCCGCCGGCGACAGCCACAAGGGGTGTGTCTCCCGGGGCGGCCGTGCGCGAGGCGGTAGGCACAGCCAGGACACGGTGACGAGATGACACCACCTTTGTCTGCCCGGCCGTTCCTGCATGGCGGTGCCTGGCCGGCCATTCATCTCGCCTGCTGCCTCGGTGCGGCCTCCAGTCGGAGCTGACCTGATTCCCAGGCCCAGCCTCCCCACACACGCCAGCCTCGCCTCTTCTCCATCAGCCCTCGGTCTTCCCGACGCTCCCAGACACCTGGTTACGGCCATGCTTCCCGCCAACATCCGGGCATCCCCCGCCATCCCCCTTGGCACCAGGGGAGCTCAAGGTGTTCCAGCCACTGCTCTCCGTGCCCGGCCAGGACCACAGTCGCTGTGGAATGCAGGTGCCAGGGGAGAGAAGGCCCAGAAGGAGCCAGGACTCAGTGGGGGAGGGGGGAGGCCCCACTTACTGAGCCGATTCCAAGGGCACGGCCCCCTCCCCGCTCCCGCCCCGGGCCCTGCGCCCACGCTCTCAGTGGCCTCGCCCTGCGCCAAGGCCGAGCCCTTCTGAAGGGCGCCCTCCTGCTCCCCCTCGGCTCTCACTTCCTGCCATAGGGAAGCCTCTGAGGAGCATTCACAGAGCCAGGCTCACACGGCCAGAAGGAGCACCCCTCCATCACGGTGGCTCTGAGTGTCAGCTGCGTTTCTGTTCCGGAGCCGCGCACACAGGATGGACAGGACAGCCCCCAAGATCTCCGGGGGCATGGCTGCACACTCGGCCACCCCTCCCTCCCACCCCAGCGTGGGAAGCACCCGTTGCTGCGGCCGCGGGAAGCCCTCCGGCCTCAGTCACAAGGAAAAGCGTTCTCTCCTGCGGTCGCCTCGGCAGCCTGGCCCACAAATGCCGTTCGCCACGGGAACCGTGAAGTCACCGAGAGCACCAGGTTCCTCCAATTCACGACTCTCGGTGCGTTCGAAGACAGCCTCTGCTCCATCCGTGGCCCTGGAACACCCTCATCAGCACCTCTTCCTCCTCCTGCCGCGGGCGGGTCGGTTCACCATTTGGGCTGGAGAAACTCCAAGAGCCCACGGTCCCCCGTGCCTTCGTCACGCCAGTCTCCAGACGGGGTGCAGTCACGCTACTCAGCTCGTGGGGGGATTCAGTAAATGTTTGAATGGGATACTCTGAGGACCGCCGGTTTCATAATAAAAGCATCACCTGCTGGCGCTCTGCAGCCTCGTCCCGCCTCCATCCTTGGCCGTTCCGTGTCTCCACGCCGCTGTGGTTCCCTCCCTCGCATTTCTCAGGAAAGGTCACCAGCGTCCTCAAAGTGGAGCCCCACCAGAGAGCAGCCAAGGACGAGAACTGGAAGGTTCTGTGGAAACGCACTCCCACTAAACCTTCCCTTGATCTTCTCACTGGGCTGGCATTGGTCCCACGGGACAGACCACGTCAAGTGGCAGACAGGCGGCCCCAAGGCCTCTGGATGTTTGTTGGGGCAACATTTGAAAGTCTGGTGGTAAGGATACATCAGAGCAGACGTAAAGCAGGAGACTGGGAACTCTACTCATCCATCCATCCATCCATCCACCCATTTATCCATTATCAATCCATCCATCCATCATCCATCATCTATTCCATTTAACCATCCATCCATCCATCCATCATCCATCCATCCATCACCCATCATCCATCATCCATTTCATTTAAACACTCATCCATCCATCCATCTAGCCAGCCAGCCTCCATTCCATTTAACCATCCATCGATCCATCCATTGATCCATCCATCCATCATCCATCCCATTTAATCATCCTATCATCCACTCATTATCCATCCATCATCCATTATCTATCCCATTTAACCATCCATCTATCATCCATCATCCATCCCATTTAACAATTCATCCATCTATATATTCATCATCTGTCCCATTTAACCATTTACCCATTCATCCATCATTTATCCCGTTTAACCATCCATCCATCTATTATCCATCTATCCATCATTCATCCATGCATCCATCCATCCATCCATCATTCATCATTCATCATCCTTCATCCATCCCTTTTAATAATTCATCCATCCATTGATTCATCATCAATCACATTTAACCATTCATTTATCCATCCATCCATCCAGCTAGCCAGCCATCATCCATTCCCTTTAACTATCCATCATCCATCCACCCATCATCTGTCCATCCATCCATCATTCATTATCCATCCTTCCTTCCATCCATCCATCCATTCATCCATCATCATCCATTATTTATCTATCATCCATTATCTATC